AACAACAATGTTTAGAGGTTCTGAAACTAGATTTGTCTGGCATAGATGACACTGTTATCGAGCACGCTTTAAAACAGCAAAGGAACATCACTAATTTATTAAAAGGCATTATTAATATTACATTATCAAAGCTACCTCCTACAGCAGCACAAGGTGAACCTGCTAATAAAAAAATTAAAAAGCAACAAAACTTTTTTTCAACTAAAAAAAGAAAGTTGGCTAAAGATAAAATATCAGTTTCAAAACCAAGTAGTGATCAGTGCTTCAAAATGAAAAATACTTTACTAGGTCAAGAATTTATTTTGAAAAATAGTTCTGAGCAACATAATTATGCCTAAAAAATTATTGTATTCTTTTTTAAAGTGCAATACCTAATATCACTGTCAAAATACATAGATATTTAATAAAAACATTAAATATAATAATTGCATTGTTTTTTTCATCAAGAGAAACCACCGGAAAATCCCTAATATGTTTTTTTTTTTCAAAGATATGAGAAAATCACGATGGTCGATGTCCATGAAGTTATAGATCCATTTCCATTCAGGCTAGTTTCTAGTGCTTTTTCAGGCCAATTCTCAGCTTAATTTTTATATTTTCCATTTTTCGCGCGTTCTAGCAAAGAGTAAAATTGGCAACATTGCTAAATCCCTCACACATGCGCATACTTGTGATCACTGTCTGACATATAATTGCTCCTGTCTGATTTCGCCAAGCACGTGGTATACGCGCCGCCATGTTTGTTGCGCTGTCAAATTTACGTGCAGAATACGCCGAAAAGTTGGTAGAGTAAAAATCAAACGAGAAGAATCCACACGCGTTATCGTTTGTCTCACTTTAAATGGGAGCGACCCAGAGAAAAGGGAATCTGCCTTCTTTGTCAGCGCTGACGTCAATGGCTTCTTCTCGTTTGATTTTTATTCTACCGGTTCAACTTTATCGCGTAATTTTGACGTAGGTTACCCTTCTTTTGTGTTGTTTTTGGCGGTTTTGTGATGATAAACAATATAAACATTTTATGTTTGCTAAATTAAAATATGAGTTAACTTTTGAATCATGGCCGGATTAAGGTTTCATGGGGCCCGGGTTTTAGGAGGCCCTTTAGCTTCTTTATGAATTGAGTGCAAAAAAAAATTATATAAAAAAACTATATTCCTGATATAACAGAAGACACTGCTATACCTATATATTTTACAAAAATAAGTCAACATATATTTTTTCTACTACCATGCGTATAGTAATTCACTTCATACACTAGTGCGCATAGTAATGTCAATAACAGATGTCCACACTGTCGTCAATTTAGTATTTTTCTGGTAAATTACTTCACGCAAATCACGCACTAGTGCGTAAAGTGAAAATAAACTCATCAAAAAAGTCTGGGGAACAAGAAATATTCGTCTTTTAATTTTGAGACAGAATAACTTTTTTTTAAAATATACCATATGGGTATTTGTTGAACAAATCTTGTCAAATTTATCATATCGGCTTTTCCAGCAGGCTTTAACAAAATTTAAAAATCTTTTAAAAGTATATTTTGTTCAATTTATAAATGTATTCAGTTGCATCTTGTTCCCTAGACTATTTTGATGTGTGTACTTTGAGCACTAGTACGTAAAGTATTTGTCGAAATTTATTTTTCTACATATATGTTATTGGTTGTAGAAAAAATACTGTATGCAATACGTGTGTAAAGCACATTTTTTCAGTCATGCGATAGTCGTGAGAATTAACATTCGTGAAAAAAAGGTTCACTTCACACACTTGTTGCATAAACAGCTATTTTTGTCAGTCACCAGAAATAGGCCCCTTGCATCAAATTTTTTTATTGCTGATTTCGATAGTCCATGAAAAATAAGTCAACACGTGTTTTTTCTTTTTCTTGTTAGTCAAAAATTGACGGAGATACAACACTTTGAAATGTCCTTCCGACGTCATAACTTAGGTATAATACGTTGTGAGTTGTGACGTCGCACATGCTCAGTATATCTATATAAAAAAAACTTAATATTTGTATAACTTCCGGAATAATCATATTTGGGTGAAATTAAAAAAAAGTAACTATTATTTTTCTATTTCCTACAGTTTGCAATAAACAATAATCAATTTAATTTTCCATGCAAGTACCCTATTCTGAAAAAAAGAGTGTTCCAGGTGATTTTCCAGGTCGCGGAAGAGAAACCTCAACAGTGTTGCCAACGGGAAATTTTCAAAATGCTCCTCATTTGTAGTGAAAACACTCACATGTACTAAAAATAACGTCAATGTCAAAATGTCAGTTTTCGAGTTTTCCCAGTATTAAGTATGACATTTGATATTTGACTACGGGATTACCAGGCTGATGTACATTGTCTTTTTTCAATCGTGTTCATTAGAAAAAGATAAATAACAAACAGCTGGTGATTGACTTTTGCAATCCAAGGAGAATACACAATACACACTCTAATGCCTCATCCTACTTGCGCGAAATGCGCTCTTTTTTGACATTCCCTGCGTTTTTATTCTCATCAAATTTTACCGATGGATCCACCATTCTATGTCGGTCATTGTCATTTTCCATTCACTAAACGAAGATAGCTAATTCATCGGTGAAGTCACCGATTAGAATAAAAACGAGGGGATATCTTCGACAATTTGACTTTTTATGCGTATATCAAACGTCAATTTGTCGATGCAATGTCAAAAACGAGCGAATTTCGCGCAAGTGTGAATGGGGCATAAGGAGTGCTTATCAGCCTCGTTTTTGGTAATCGCCACCATATTGGCGTGATACCATTTCCGACGTCATAACTAAGTCGTCAGCTGTTTAAACAGCCTTCGTCAAGGCAAGAAATGAATGAAATGACATTCTGTCTACGTCACAACTGGTATTTTGGCTTGGGAGGGGGGGGGGGATTTGTTACACACAGGCTTTATGAAAATAGGCCACCCTGTAGTAATAGCAGTGAGTGTGCATCATCCTTGGATGGTATCAGCGTTTCTAAAATGGCCTCTTGACAATCTTGAGACGTGAGGTGAAATACATAATTCTTTTCTAAAAAGTTGGGCGCTTGGTCTTTGCTATGCCACAAGTTATGACATGGCTCTCGTGGACTCGTGCTGGGACGAATTTAATTTAATTTTTTCGCTTAATAAATACCAAAAATGCCCACAAAATGCTCACATCTTGCCAACGCTCCCATTTTTACCCCCAGATCTATAAAACGCTCACAAATGTGAGCAAATGCTCACACATTGGCAACACTGAACCTCAATATTTATTGTTTGCCCACGGGCTCTTGTCCAGCATAAGCCTTAACACCTCAACGTGCATTTTTCAAAAGAGGACCCGCATTTTGGGGCGCTGTACGTTCTAGAATTCAGTTTTGTGATTCTGTGCGCATTCTTTGCTATTTTTTTTTTTATATTACATTACCTCACATTTATCTCGAGGCATTGATCTGGCAAATTCTTGTCAATACAATTATACCGGAAACGTCGCGGAAATTTGTTCTACGGGGAGTCTCGATTGAATTCCAATCGCCCTACATGAACTATAAACCGATTTAAAGCAACCACCGATCTTCACCGTGGTTATCCCTTTCCTTTGGTTAACTTTGAGAAGGTATTGACATCAAGCGCACTTATAACCGGTGGTAGAACGCATTAACATTCTGGTCTGGTTGTGATTAATGATTGACAATGGATGATGTGTTAATGTCCAAGATCGGTTTTAAAATACTTATTTAAAATAAGATACCATGAAGCAACAAGGCTGCAGTTTCTATATCGTTCACAGACACTGTTGTCACTGTTATGTCGTTTCCCTCAAAATTGAGTGATATTTGATATTGCTATAGGATCTTTCCAATAATGCAGCCTCAGTGTGCAGCAAACAGTAATCACATTACATTTTTTAAGATTCACACAATATTGGAAACACGTGTTGGCCGGCACTTGACTGAGCCCAAGGGCCCCAAGGACTATTGTGGCAATTTGACGATTCCCGCCTATTTTCTGTTTAATTTGATAGAGGAGGGGTTAATAATCTTGCTCTCGAGGTGGGTAAATACCAAGGATGATACACACTACTACTAGACTATAGGATGGCCTGTGGGTAACAAATTCCCCACACGCCAAAATACCAGTCGTGACGTAGGCAGCATGTTATTTCTCGCCTTGACGTAGGCTGTCTAAACAGCTGACGACTTAGTTATGACGTAGGAAATGGTGGCACAGGAATATGGCGGAGATTACCAAAAACGAGGCCGATAAGCACTCCTTGAGTGTGCATTCTCCTTGGGTAAATACCGGTTATAGAAATGTCAAACAATGTCGTTGCAAAGGGCTTGTTAATGACGTCATTAAATATAACCACATAACCAAAATCGCATTAACTTGAGAAGTAATTACAGGTTAAGAACGGTCGTCCGCTTTAAATCGGTTATATCAGTTATATACTACACGTAGGACAAGAGCTAATGTGATGCTGCCCCAGTTACTTTTGGTGACGATGGTACCTAACTGGAATGGATCCGACCGTTTGTAAGATAATGCAATTTGTCTCTCTCTTAGGGCCGGTTTATCAATCATGGGATAACTCGCAGAGTTTGCTGACCCTATAGGGCACAGCTATAGGTCAACATTAACTCTGGTCCTGGTCCAACTAATGTTTGTTTCACGAGGGTTTGTACTTTTGACATCATTTGCCTTCCTAAAAGTGATTAGATCTGGAAAGTCCAAAAGCGGGACATAGTCACAGAGGGATTTTAATTGCCTTTTATTTACGACTAATGTATAATGTGCCTATTATATTTGTGATTTTGGCAGTATAATGACATATGTTATTCCTCCAGGGATTAATGACGATTAGCGGGATTAATGGTCATTATTCCACAAAAATGTCAGTGTCAAACGTGTAGTGCTTGTGGATTTGTATTGAAAATTATGAGTCGGATAAAATTTGTTCATTGAAAATCTCAAATAAAATAATTTATCGTAAATAAAGTAGAGTATACTACTCGCAATAATGGCTATTATTCCCTCGGAATCTCGGAATGTTACTCCCTCGCCGCTAACCGGCTCAGTTCGTAATAATCCTCGGGAATAATAGCTATCATTATTGACTCGTGGTATAATCTACTATTATAATATACAAGGTGCTCTATTTAAAAAAGTGCACTTTTCATCTTTTTTATACCTGGCAGTACAATTACTAATTTTGACCAATCCTGTATAATGTAAAACAAAAAATCAAATCGAAACTCGTAGCTCGAAATCGGGACTGTCCCGCCTAAAGCGGGACGGATGATCACTTCACTTGATGAGTGAGAAATAACATTCTGCATATGTCACAACTGGTATTTTGGCGTCGGGGGGAAGGGCGGGGATTTGATACACACATGCTATCTGAGGAGTGAGGATAGGCTATCCTGTATCCTGTAGTAGTGGAGTGTATCATCCATGCATTCCAGCCACGTGTGGGGTGTAGTTTATAGTTCAATGTCGCCCTATCTCTCCCTCTCTCGAACTGCTGACCTGGTTCGCTGACTGTTCCTCTCCCACGTTTGGGCTTGGCTGAAGGCAACTCGAGCCAACTGTACCCGAATTTATCTCAACTTCATTCCATAATCTTAATTCTGGAGCTCTGTGTACCTATGCAAATATTCTTCTTTTAATTGGGCCTGGGCGCGGGGTTAAACTTCGTGTTCGATATTCACAGACTCATCATCATTCATTATCCTAGTTTTCCTCTTGCTCCGAGTTCCAAATCCCGCCCGCCTTTTGAGCTACTCCCGGATTGGATATTGGAACCTAGCTGTTGTAGATTGACAGTTGAGCAGTTGACGCCATATTTTTTTCCGTTTTCTTGTGAACTTTTTTTTTAAGGAAGAAGCACATTAATTAAGTAACATTTAATTAGTCACTTACATAATAATTTTGAAATTAATTACATACTTACTAAAATAAAATCAAAAATATAACAAGAATTAAATTACACAAACACAAGTCCAGGACTTGAAAATAGTTTGCAAGCTTCCAATACCGGAATCTCCACTGTATCGGAAACGACTTTGTTTTCTGTCAAAAGTCAAAATTCAATTGTTTAAAACAAAAGACGCTTCACGCTCACGGCTCACGCGTCTATTTTCGGTCGCATATTTGTCGAAAAGTCGCAACAGGTGAAAAGCTGGTGTCCCCAATTTGCTAATTAATTAATTACCATCGAATCAAGAAAGGATGTACGCAAGGTAGGTGAATCAAATTACATATTTAAATTCAAATAGTAAGTTCTGTTAATTTCTAAATGGTGAATCTTAGGGAGCAATTCAACATGAGCGGAAATCAGAATCAAAGGCAAGTTTTTGGCAATAATAATGGCTTCATGCGTCCCATTGTCGGAAGGAAACTACCTGTGGAAGAAACAACTTTTCAAATGAACGTAAGAATCCACAATAATTTTTTTTGTTCAAAATTCCCTTGTGCCTTGATTTTTTTTCTTCCTATACTATATAATACTGGCGTAGTGTGCTTTGAATTTGACAACCTGGCAACATTTGGAGTGGTTCACTCGTTCACTGATTGGTATGTCTTTAGAGGTTACTTTAGTAGTTTATTTGACCTAGGAATTTACAAAACAAGGCCTTTATTTTATATTATCTACTACTACATCAGGTGGTAAGTATAGGGTCTCAGGTCTTTTATTTGGGTCAAATAATGAAATTTAACCAAAATAGAAAAAAAAAGTAAAGGTATAGAGGCGATTTGAAACAGGGTAGCAGCGTTTCCAGGAGAACGAGTATTCCGTCTTTGTTACTTATATTATTATAATTTCCATATATTATTGAGAATGACAGAACACTTGTTCTAAGCCGCTTTCCAGTGCCTAACTAAATTGTTAGAGTATCATGCTCCTGAAGTGTGACGCTCTTGAACTGTTCAACATAAGCAGCACTGGAACGCTCTCGTCTTAACTCACTCAACAATTCGGATTTCAGGAGCATGGAACACAGACAAAAGGGTTGGTACACGAGGGGGCAGGGGATAACAGAAATGAGTAGTTCAAGTGTACGACACTCTAAGCACTGGAACGCGCAAAGCAATTGTGGAGCACTCCTGGGCCGGTATTCTGGTTCTCAAAAACGCTCACCGCTTTCTAGTCGCTCGGCACTTCAAATGCATATTTACATTGAAAGTGCCGAGCGACTCAAAAACGGTGAGCGTTTTCGAGAATGAGAATACCGGCCCTGAGCTGCTCAGGAGTAACTCAAATGGGTCACTGGAAAGCACCTCTAGTCGTTCTCCTGGGAACGGCTCCCCTGTTTATGAATAAATAAGGACCTTCAAGACCCCATTGCAGTGTTGTCAGGTTTGATCAATGAGCAAGTACGAAAGGCCTTGCAATTCATTTCATAAAAATTTGCTGGAATATACTGTATACTGCAGTGTGTGTTGCCAACTTTCAAAAATCAAATTTCCCACAAGCGAGTCTAAAAATTCCCTTTTTGAAAAAAAATTCCCACAAATGCACAAAATCGACAAAATGCCGACAAAACGAAATAATAGATCTGTTTCTGCAGAAATTACAAACCAGTCAGAGTGAATTTCATTGGTTGAAACCTTAGTTGAAACTAGTTTTCTGACTGTTGACTGTTTTCAACCAATGTAATTCGGTCTGACTGGTTTGTGATTTCTTCAGAAACAGACCTGATGCAAATCTTTAGTAGATAGATTGGATTTTGAAAGAAATTAAATTTGAATTATGTTGCAACCTGAGGTTGCAACGAATGAAATAAAAACAAGTCATTCGTTGGAGTTGTACCGCTGCCTGCTAGATTCTAGAACTAAGCTGGAATCGGCTTCGAACTTTTTCGGTTCAACGTGGTATTATTTGTCAGTTGTCAGTTCCATCAATAATCATATTTATTTTTCGGTAAATCCCCGAACTCCAACTCTCAAACTCGACTACCTCAATGCTCGATTGGATTCATTCTGAAGTGAATCACAGTCAATCTGTGCTGGTGTGATAGGGCGAGACCCAGAGGGTAACGTCGAAACGCATACATTCGAAGAATCATTTTTGAGCGAAACTTGCACAGTTCGCGATCGCTATTTGATCGGACCGCGAATGTCTTGCGTCCTTATATGCGCTTATTGTTAGGAAATATCCCACGAATATCGCAATTTTGGTGGAAATAATAGTTATTTATGTATCAAGGGAATTATGAGGTTGTTAATATCCCAGGGCAACCTGGCCCGAGGGACACCAATTGCCCGTGGGTATTAACACCTGATAATTCCCGTGGTACATAGATAATTTTATATCCTACTGAATTTACTGTAACTATTCAGTCTATTTTTATAAGGGAATAAACCATAAATCAAAATTTCTATTTTTTCTCAAAGCTTTACCTATTCAAGGTAAAAGTGGGAGTTATGGAAATCCTTAACTTCCTTGGGAGTTATGATATCCTTAACTCCCGCGAGGGAGTTATGAAATCCCTGAAGATCCTGTTTATGATTATCATAACCAAGGTATTATAATGTGGTTATAATAGTTCAGTAGGATATAAAATTATCTATGTAGGTACCTCGAGAATTATCAGGTGTGAATATCCACGGGCAATTGCTGTCCCTTGGGCCCACAAACTTTGCCCTGGGGTTTCAACCACCCTCATAATTCCCTTGATACATCACTAACTATAAATCCATTTTTACCCTATAAAGTGCTGATAAAAAGCGCCTTCGGTTGGAGGAACTTCCGAGGATGGTTTGTTTGTAGTTGTTGCTAGTTTTATCCTCAGGTCATTGAGTTACTGTATTTGTTTGTCTTTGTTTTTGTAGAGTAGAAGAAACAATTTTTTATCTATTTCTAATCAGTGCCGGCCCGAGGTTACTTTTAGGATGGAGCGAGATCCGACTTTGGCACCCCTAATTAAGTAAATGCGAATCGTATCAACCGATCATAGCTCTTCTAAGTACCAAGAAAAAGTACCTAAGTATCAAGTAAAAGTTTCTTTTTCAATACGACTCAAGTACCAGTACAAGTACCTATAAGTACAAAAGGCAATACTTGAAATGATCGATAATCTTAAAGGGGGTGCTACCCAAAAATAGATGTTTTAGAAAAAAAAATCTAAGAACAAATTTTCAAACCGCACCAGGTAACGATCAACCGTTGTGAAGATGCTGATGTGGTATAAAATTCCTACACCTACCACTGTGACGTCATATGCACAAACTGCGTCCGACAGCCGGCGGGCGTTTACTGATTCTTGCTGCATATGTAAACTCAGTTCCAACCGACAGGAGAACCGTTCCAGAACCAGTAATTTCCAGTTGCCCACCTATTTTTCAATAAGTTGAACATTTATTCTACTTGGCAAATGAATGGATCAGCTGGAAATTACCGTTCTAGAACGTTTCTCATGTCGGTTGAAAAAGAGCTATCGACATTATCGTATCGTTTTTGCGTTCTCACACCTAATATTGCTGCATCAGTTTGCATGGGTTTTGCAATTTTTGCGTGTGTTTATGATGTCACGCGGTGAAAAGACAAAATTTTATTTAGTCGTATCCACTTTGTTATTTTGAGTAGCCATGCGAGATTTTCACAAGAGTTCTTAGAATTTTTTTCTTTATTTTCTGAATACAAGTTGTTTTTTAATAGGAGATATTCAGTATAGGCGCGACAGACACAGGGATTGGTATTAGGAGACGCCAGCTGGGCTCTTCCTACCTACTGGCTGGCTGGGTTTCGGCTGCTGTCTTATCATACTTACCACCCTTTTGTTCGCAAGCAGAATAGCAGAATATCGAAAAGCGAAGACAGGATTCAGAGCAGTGTGTCTATCTAATTGTAAAAATCATAGCTCCGTTATCCTGAACTATTTCTTCATAAAATTTGAATATGTTGAAGCTTAAAGCTTCCCTAGTAAATAAAAAAAAATTGGTTAATCTAGGTTTTCAGAATTTTTAGAAAAAAAATCAAGAATGAGGCCATCAGTCTATGACAAAGATATCACTAAGTGTTTCTGTTCGATTGTAAAAATCATAGTTCCGTTATTCTGGGCTATTTCTCTATAAAATTTTAGTATGTTCAAGTTAAAAGCTTCCTCAATAAATGAAAAAATATTTGGTTAATCCAAGTTTCCAGAATTTTTAGAAAAAAAATAAGGAATGAGGCCATCAGGCCATGGCAAAGATATCACTAAGTAATAGCTCCATTATCCTAGACTATTTTTCAATGAGAATTATAATATGTTGAAGCTTAAAGCTTCCTCAATAAGCAAAAAAAAATATATGGTTCCTCTAGGTTTCCCAGATTCCCAGGAAAAAAATCAGAAATCAGGCTGTAATGCAAAAATATCACTCAATGGGGCTCTCGGAATAAAAAAATCGTTACTCAGCTTTGTTTGCCCAGCGGATCTGAGTCTACGGCAGGAATTCGGATGTAAATGCGCCATATTGCCACGTTTAATTATAAAAAAGCGAAAATACTAGACATGAAGTATAGTTCATTTGAAAATCCATTTTTTAATAACAAAATATTGATAACAATAATAAAACGCTAAATATTTTAACGTGGTTGTTAGATCTATTCTTATTTCTCCTGATTTCTTCAATTTGATCTGTTGTAAAAAATAAACATTTTCTGAATATACCATCCGCTTTTGACAATTTGGCAAGCATCCGGCCTGGATGAACCTGATTGGTGGAGTTTTTGGCAGGATCGCCGTTGCCATGAAAACCATACGGTTGTCAATGAGCCAACGTCACTTTATGTCTCGCTATTGGCCAGGCCTGACGTCATTTTATCCTCCCATCTTGGAATATCAATTTATATTGAAATATCCAGTGGCGGAGGTTTGGTCATTGTCAATTTTCGTGTACGAGTTGCAATACGATAACACTTTCGAAAAGTTCCGCACGCAGCTGGGTATTTTATGAATGAAATCAGCCATTTTTTTTTACAACTGCATTCCCCTCACCGTTGCCCCGTAGACACAGATTCGCTGGGCAGACATTATCTTTGGTTTTTTCCGTATCAAATTTTGGTATGCTTAAGCTAAAAGGCTCCTGGATATATGAAAAAATTCTGCATTTCCCAAAGTTTCCCAGATTTCCAGGAAAAAAAACAAAAATTAGGCCATAGGCTGTAATGCAAATATATCATTCAATGGCGCTTTCGGATTGAACAGATTTCAGAAATATATTTTTCTCTTTTTTTTCACCAAGGAAAAAGTCGGAGGCGCTCCTCGAGGTCTGGCGCCTGGAGCGCTCGCTCCATTCGCCTTATGGTAGGGCCGGCCCTGTTTCTAATGCTTTGTCATGTGACTGCAGTACTGCAGTGGCAATTCAGACATTTCTTGAAGAACGGCAATACTTTTTTTAAGAATATCGAAAGCAGAGTTTGAAATTGAATTTCGATGAGACAGCAAC